CACTCCCACCTTCCCTCTGAGATTCATCAGTCTGTTACATGTTTCTCTGGATCTGTTTTGTTCATTAGTTTATTTTATTCTTTAGATTCTACATATGAAGTGAGATCATGTGATACTTGTCTTTCTTTGGCTTATTTCGCTTAGCATAATACTTTCCAGGTCCCTACATGCTGTCTCAAAGGGTGAGAGATCCTTCTTTTTTACAACATCAACGATGTGAATGTACCACAGATTTTTTATCTACTCATCTACTGATGGGCACTTGAGCTGTTTCCAGATTTTAGCTATTGTAAATTGTGCTGCTATGAACATAAGGGTGCATATAGTCTTTCTGATTAGTGTTTTGGGTTTCTTAAGATATATTCCTAGAAGTGGGATCACTGGTGGGTCAAATAGTTTCATTTTTAATTTTATGAGGAAACTCCATACTATTTTCCATAGTGGCTGCACCAGTCTGCATTACCACCAGCAGTGTACTAGGGTACCCTTTCCTCCACATCCGCATCAGCACTGGTTATTTGTTGATTTGTTGATGATAGCCATTCTTACAGGTGTGAGGTGATACCTCATTGTAGTTTTCATTTGCACCTCTCTGATGATTATTGACTTTGAGCATTTTTTCATATGTCTTTTGGACATCTGTATGTCTACTTTGGAGAAGTGTCTATATAGGTCTTTTGCCCATATTTTAATTGGATTGCTTATCTTCCTTAAAGACCCCAAAATAGCCGCAGCAACCTTGATAAAGAAAAACAAACTGGGGGGGGGGTCACAATACCAGATATCAAGTTATATTACAAAGCACTGTAATCAAAACAGCTGGTACTCACACAAGAACAGGCATATAGATCAATGGAACAGAACAGAGATCCCAGAAATTGAACCACACCATTATGCTCTACTAATATTTGACAAAGGAGGCAAGAGCATACAATGAAGTCAAGAAAGTCTCTTTATTTTTTTAAAATTGTTTTATTGCTTAAAGTATTACAATGAGTATTACATATGTCTCCTTTTTTCCCGCTCTTGACAATCCCCTGGCCTCCCCTACACACAGTGTCTTATGTCCATGGGTTATGCTTATATGCATGCATACAAGTCCTTCGGTTGATCTCTTACCCCCCCTCCCACCCCCCAACCCTCCCCGCTGTAGTTTGACAGTCTGTTCGAGGCTGCTCTGCCTCTGTATCTATTTTTGTTCATAAGTTTATAATGGTCTTTATTATCCATAAATGAGTGAGATCATGTGGTATTTTTCCTTCATTGACTGGCTTATTTCACTTAGCATAATGCTCTCCAGTTCCATCCATGCTGTTGCAAATGGTAAGAGTTCCTTCTTTTTTACAGCAGCATAGTATTCCATCGTGTAGATGTACCACAGTTTTCTAATCCATTCATCTACTGATGGGCACTTAGGCTGTTTCCAAATCTTAGCTATGGTGAATTGTGCTGCTATGAACATAGGGGTGCATAGATCCTTTCTGATTGGTGTTTCTGGTTTCTTGGGATATATTCCTAGAAGTGGGATCACAGGGTCAAATGGGAGTTCCATGTTTTGTTTTTTGAGGAAACTCCATACTGTCTTCCATAGTGGCTGCACCAGTCTGCATTCCCACCAGCAGTGCACAAGTGTTCCTTTTTCTCCACATCCTCTCCAGCACTTGTCGTTTGTTGATTTGTTGATGATAGCCAGTCTGACAGGTGTGAGATGGTACCTCATTGTTGTTTTGATTTGCATCTCTCGGTGCCTATTTTTTGATTGGATTGTTTATCTTCCTTTTGTTAAGTTGTATGAGTTCCCTATAAATGTTGGAGATAAGAAAATCTCTTTAATAAATGGTGTTGGAAAAATTGGATAGGTACATACAAAAAAAGAAAGAAAGAAAGAAACTAGACCACCAACTTGCACTGTACAAAAGAATAGACTCAAAATGGATAAAAGACTTAAATGTAAGTCATGAAACCATAAAAATTCTAGAAGAAAACAGAGGCAGCAAAATCTCAGATATCTCTCATAGCAATATGTTTGCTGATACATCCCCTAGGGCAAGGGGGAAAAAGGAGAAAATAAACAAATGTGACTACATAAAAATAAAAAGCTTATACACAGCAAAAGAAACCATCAACAAAATGAAAAGGGAACCCACTGAATAGGAGAACATATTTTCTAATGATACATCTGATAAGGGGTTAATATCCAAAATATATAAGGTATCAGTGTTTTGAAAGACTGAGAGCAGAGTATTTTTCTATGAGTATTCTGCTTTCCCTTACAAAATAGCCATACATTTCTTTTTTCTCCTCTGATATGAGTTGCTCATTAAAAACATTTTTTAAATTTTTCTTGGAAATACCATCTCATGTCTACTTTAAATTTTGTTTGCTATTATTTTTTCTTACTTCAAATTTAAAACCTTGAGTCCTGTTGTAAATAAATTTCAGAAAAGAAAACAATGACATTTTTGTCAGGTAAATTTATACCTTCCTTTATATCTCTTTCACTTTGGAAAAAAATATTGTCTACAAAATTTATGATATAGAAATATTTGAACTTATGTGTTGAATAGATTCTTTTTCATGTGTTGTCACACTCGTTATAAAAATAAATAATTTTTACTTTTTCTTAGCTAAGTATATATTCCAGCATCCTGGAATCAAGGGCCCTTAGGCTTGGAAGGAACATTAAGCATTATATAGCTCATTTACTCTTATATTACTGAATCTACAGTATTTCTGCCAACTATCAGTGTGGTCTGAATCAATACTTTAGTGAGTGGGAACATAAAACTTTTTGAGGTGGTCTATCTTTCTTTGGAGAGCCTGATCTATTAGAAAATTTTTGTTATTAAACAAAATCTCTCTCTGACAAAATTGGGGGCTTATTATAAGACAAGTGTAGTCTCTTCCCTTCTCTTCATGTGTTTACATGTTGCCAACACAATCTCTACACCTGACCTGTTGAGTCTTTTCTTCTTCATTTCTTTCTGGCATCTATAGATTTTCAACTGAATATTATTTTGAATTCTTTCACTATTTTCATCACTCTCCTCTGATCCCTCTTGTTGATGTATATTATATTATACATATTATATTATATTATATTATATTATATTATATTATTTTTTAAATGTGGCACCTATACCTGATTAAGATTGTCCAAAATAAAATAGAAAGGAACTGCCATGTCGTTGATTCTATTAGAATAGCCTAAAATACTATTAGACTCTTTAGTGGCCATATTTACTGCTCCCTTTAATTGTGCTGTTTACTAAAATCCCTCAACTTTTGTATGACTTCCAGTTCCTAAGGCACAGCTCTTATCCTTTACTTTGTCTGCTCAAGCAAAAATCTGCCACAAATTGCTATTCAGCAGGCAATTTGCGACTATTAAATAATCTTTCCTCCTTTCATACAGTTACTCTTACAAGTTATTATGTCCATAGTGAAGGTTGGAGGCACAGAAAAAATAATTCACTTCATTTGTTATTTTTTTTCACATTTTATCTCTTAGATTTTGATTCTATGTGATGAGTTAGAAAACTTTAAAGAAAAGCTAAAATGAGGTCACTGAAATCCAAATAAAATGTGCTATGCATTTGAAAAAGTACCTTTAGGTAGATATGCCAGTATATGCCTAATTTGAACGAAAATTATAGGTTTTTTGGCATTTCTATGAAGTGCAAATTTTGAGGAACCTTCATATCTTTTACTTTTTGAGCTTTCCTTTACGACTTATATAAAGACAGGCCTAAAAATAGTGACTATTATAGGGTAAATGTAACTTGAAAGTTTGAATACTACCTCTCTCTCATCCTGGCTCCTAACTGGATAAAAATATGTGATATATTTTATTTCTTTGTTTTTGCTCTTTTCATAATTAAAGAGCTCTTATTTGAATCCTATATGCTTTCTCTTTTATTTGTGGTATTAATTTTGTAAGCCCCAGCCCAAGGGTAATTCTATCATATTCGTGTATGCTGATTCAGTCTATACATACAATCAAAATAAAATTAATAGTTTTAAAGCCAATGGAATAATCAAGTGAAAGGAATCACTCTTGGTGATTGTGATATTTCCAAGATTTGTCAGGTAGTTTGGCAACTTAAATTATCTAAAAAATTTCTCATTTTGGCTCATAAATATAAGAACTATTAAACATGAAACTCAATTCATATCATGTTCTTGCTCTGGCCCACTGGAACCAATAGCAGGTGGCAAAAATATACTCCAGTACATATCAGTCATCAGTGTGAAAGCCAGATATGAGGAAAAACTTGGTGTGAAGAATATGTATTCATGAAGAAAATATTAAGCATATATATATATATATATAAGCCTAAGCAACCTTCCGACCATTTGACCATCCGACCAATAACCATGACTTGCAATGACCACCAGGGGGCAGACGCTCTGCCGAGCTGTGGTGACTTGGCAGTTGTGGTTCTCAGGTGACACACCCGGAACCAGAGAGGAGGGAGCCCAATTCTGGGGTGTGTCACCAGAGAACCGCCATCTCGCAATCCAGGACCCCTCAGGGGATGTTGGAAAGCTGATTTCAGCCTGATCCCCGCAGGCCAGGCCAAGGGACCCCACCAGTGCACGAATCCATGCACCGGACTTCTAGTTACAAATGATAGCCAAATGCAAGAGGTGTTTTCTATTATATGTAACATATACATATCACTCCTCAGAGCCACACATAAGTAATAATATTATTCTAATGAACTAGTAGCAACTAATAACAGCATTTATCATTTGACTAAATAAAATATTGCTTTGTTTTTACAACACGAGTAAAAATATTACATCACATATGTATTAAATTTAGACAAAATCAACTATAGAAACTTAAAGAAGGACTTTTTAAAAATTGTGTGACATTGTTTAAGAAGGTTATATAGGTTTTGAGTGCATATTTCTATAAACATAACCTGTGTATTGCATTGTATGAACACCACCCAAAGTCAAATCATCTTCTGTTGCCATGTATTTGGCCCCCTTTACCATTCACTACCCCCTATCCCTATTGTGAGAGAATGAGAAGGTCCCAGGCCTGTGTAGACGAAGTTGTCAGGGGTACACAGAGGTATGGTGAGGGAGAGGTAGTCCCCAAAGATGCTCCAATGGGACTGGTAGATCTGGAAGATGGTGATCCAGGTGTGGAGTACAGTCCCCCAGAAGAGAAAGTCCACAGCTAAGTGCCGGACATAGCCTTTGGTTTGACTCTGCTCTGTGTATGCTGGGACAAGGAAGGCTTCTCGGAAAAACCAGAAGATGTTGACCAGCCAGGGAAAAGGCAGGAAAGCAAACCCACCCAGGCAGTACTTTTGGCATAGGTTCAACTTCTACTATTGGACACCCACTCCAAGTTCACAGCTGCTCTGGAGCTGCACAGTTGGGAAGGTCTCTGTGCTTTCTCTTCTTATAAGAATACTAATCCAATTATGAAGGCTCCACCTTTATGACCTTATATAAACATAATTATTTCCCAAAGAGGCTTCAGCACATGAATTTTGATGGAACACACTTTAGACCATAGCAATGGTAGATTACAAACTTTGAGGTCATGGACCATGTTTTTGACCTTTGATTCTTCAAAACTTCTATAGTAGGGCTTTGCATATTTTGTACTCAATAAATATATGGACTGCTTGTCTAAAACTAATCATAATAGCCAGCATTAATCATATTCATTAATCATATTCATTTTAATTCATATTCATTTTATTGTAAAATTCTATTAGTTAGTTAGGGTTGCCATAACAAAATACCACAGATTTGGTGGCTTTGACATCAGAAATTAGTTTTCTCACAATCCAGGAAGCTAGATGTCCAAGATTAAGGTGGACATTGGCAGGTTTGCTTTCTCTGGAGGTCTTTCTCCTTGGATTTCTTCTCTCTCTGCCTTCTCACATGGCCTTTCCTCTGTGCACACACACTCTGTGTTTCTTCTTCTTCTTATAAGGACCTCTTCTTATACTCCTCTGGAATTAGAGTTTCACTCTTAAGACATCATTTAACCTTCATTAACTCCTTTGATGTCCTATCTCCAAGCATAATGGAATTGGGAGTTAGAGCCTCACCTTATGAATTGTGTGTGTGTGGGGGGGGGGGGGGGGGGGGGGCAATTTAGTCCAAAAGCTCTCACAAGCTAACTCTCTTTACATTCTTATCTCATGACATTAACCGAACATAGTCACTGTGCCATAACTAATTTGCAAAGTAGACTGGGAATTGTAGTCTTTATTCAGAGTGCCCACATGCCCTGCTAAAAATTCTATTAATATGGATGAAGGAATGAAATAGATATTTGTGGGCAAATAAGAAATTGGGAGGCACATATGGCTCCTATGTTTTATACATAAAGATGAATATAAGAAAATTACATGTTTATATACACATTGTAAATGACAAAAGAATAATTTTTTCCTTGAATATTGCAAAGCATCTCATATTTAACAAAAGAGGCTAGTTGGAATTCACTAAGTATTTTAATGTAACACTTGAAAAATAATTGACAATCATATTTAGAAACAAACTCTTACATTTATTTAATTAAGAAAATGGTTTTCATTTTCACGTGTGTTGTTTTTTTTAATGTTTCAAGAATTCAAGGTAGCATCTGTATGGCAGTGGCTAAAACCATTTTTTTGATATTTTAACATCATGTAGTCTCCCAGTGCACCATGCATGTTATGAATGTCAAGTGGAGAGAGAGAGAGCTTTTCTTCAAGTTAGTAAAAAATAAAAACCAGATAATTTAATTCATGTATTCCTCTGAGGTCATCTTACTAAAAGAATGACACTCTCTTGTTCTCTAGTTTAAAACCATTTATATCTGTGGTGTAGGTCACATAAGCAACATAGAAAATCTAAGATGAGTCACTTCAAAATTTTAATATGTACAGTGTCTGATATAACTGAGTTTTACAGAAACTGGTAACACTTTGACAGTATGTATTTTTAAAAGCATCTTTTTACAAAAGTCTCAAAGCACTTTACATTTGAAACATTGAAATCTCCAAAGAAAGAAAATAGAAATCTGAAGCAGTGGGAAGCATAGATCAATTTGGGAGTAATTACTTCAATTATTTCTAATAAAGTCATTTTGTATTAAGTGAAAATAGTCTTAAGTTTTAAACATTTTTAGGATTAAGAGTGGCAGGCTCCAGCCTTTGTTCTCTTATAAAAAAAATATGAGCCCCATTATTCTATGTTGTTAATGGACTTTTGTGGGTTGTTTTTAGATAAAGGAAAGTATATAATTGCTTAGAATAATCAAGAGGGCCAGCCAAATCTGTTTTTCTTAAGTGCAGTCACATGTCAATAATTGAAAACTAAAAATGTGGATGAAGAATTTCTTTCAATGGTCATAAATTTTGCATGTGATACCAACCTAATATTTTTATTCCCATTGTAATACTGTCTATGCCAACTTACTTGGGAATGATCCTTAGACTTCTAGTGGTTAAGAACACAGACTCTGGAGTTGGTTTTAAACCCCAATTCAAAAATTATTAAGCTATGTGACCTGGAATAACTCACTTAAACTTTCTGAGCCTTAATTTCCATCTTGATATAATTAATGGGAATGATAATAGTACCTATCCTATTGTGTTGTTGTCAGTATCAAAGAAATCAATATATTAAAAGTATATTACAGCATCTGTCCAATAATTAGTGTTGAAGTAGCTGTCGTTCTTAGGTTCTTTCCAACTCTAATGTTTTATGATTCTGTGATTTCTATTTATAGACACTTTTAAAAAATTCTTTATTGTTTAAAGTATTACATATGTCTCCTTTTTGATACTTTTTGTTTTAATGCATTTTTATAAGCATAGCCATCACGATGCAAATAATGTATGCTTATAATTTGTAATATGTGGTACATACAGTAAGAAATTTGTCTTAAGAGAGAACCTTCTGGAAAGGGTACTGCTTAATTGAAAATCCTATTTTGGACTTGCAATAGTCAGGTAGGATCCATAAGTCTGCACATCTTTTTGTGACAAATAGATTCTTTCCCCCCAACTTTTTATGTATTTATTTTATATACATACACATATACATATACACTGTTCAGTGATGTGTTGATAGAAATTTCTAGTTCCTCCTCAGTGAGAAACTGGATTCTTTATTGTTTAAAGTATTACATATGTCTCCTTTTTGATACTTTTTGTTTTAATGCATTTTTATAAGCATAGCCATCACGATGCAAATAATGTATGCTTATAATTTGTAATATGTGGTACATACAGTAAGAAATTTGTCTTAAGAGAGAACCTTCTGGAAAGGGTACTGCTTAATTGAAAATCCTATTTTGGACTTGCAATAGTCAGGTAGGATCCATAAGTCTGCACATCTTTTTGTGACAAATAGATTCTTTCCCCCCAACTTTTTATGTATTTATTTTATATACATACACATATACATATACACTGTTCAGTGATGTGTTGATAGAAATTTCTAGTTCCTCCTCAGTGAGAAACTGGTGAAAATCTTTAACCAGGGGAGGAAGACAGAACACTCTCTCTCTCTTTTCTGAAATAGCCCAAGTGTATCTACCTTTTGGAGACTTCTTCTCTTTGTGGGAAGTCCAGGTTTTAGTAATAATTTTGTATTGTTTCCTCTTGTGCAGGTATAAGCTGAATATCTTGGTACTTGCAAAGCAAGACATTTTCATAAATACTACAAAAACTTTTCAGGCATTTAGTATGGCATTGTTCAATGTTAAACATTTAAGGCAGAAATTTCATTAATTTTGTTTCTGTTATTCTGGATATTTCTATATTTGAGAAGGTTCCATTTCCCCTAATGTACTCCCTAAAGTATTGGGTTAATCTTTTTTCCTCCTTAGTTAGAATGCCAGAATAGAGAACAGGGTAATTTTGTTTTGATTTTGAACCATGCAAATATATCATATATTCAAAAATATGTAATCAATAATTTAAAAATACAAAAAGAAATGAAAAGGTATTTCCTAAATCAAGGGCTTTGTTTTAATGGCAAGGAAGTTTTAATAGAACATAAATATTAAATACAGTATCAACAAAACCCTGTCCACTCAGAGTTTTATTTTTAACTATTTCATCCTCACTGTCCTGTAATTCACACTACCATCAGTATATTCCCAAGTTAAAAACTTAAATTTCTTTGCGCAATGTAAACTTTTCTTAACTTTCACAGGATATTATATTATAAATCAACTGGGTGCTTACACTACAGTATAAAAGCACACCGTGATCTTCCATTCAGTGGTAGTAAAATTTGAAGAAGGCCAAATTCCCTCACAATGAAAAATAGATCCCCATGAGGCTGACACAATGTCTGAAAATCTCACCATTAACATTGCCCCTTGAGGGCTTTGTGGAGACAAGCAATTTAATTAGGTTTAGGCATTATATTTCCTGGGTAAATCATTTGCTACCCAAACACAATAGCATGCATTTTTCCATCTTATTAAAAGTCATTAACACACAGCAGAACCCGGAGGAAATGACATGAGATAGAAAACAAGTGTATGTTTCAGAGAAATGAAGAGGTAGAGAAAGGTCAGATTCATGAGAGCTGTTAGGTTCCAGGGGGCATTTCTAGACTGAAATAGAGTGTCCTGAAGTTTCAGAAATCTTTTATAGTTTTTCCTAAACTCTTTACCATATTATTTGGGTGAGAACTTTGTTGTTGTTGTTATTCTCCACTTTTGTTTTGTTGCTTTTAATAACCAACAAACCAATCCTTAAGACAAGCACTGCTCACATTTGATGTGAGCTTGTATTGCCTCTCAGTTGATTAGCCATGATTCCAAATTGTCATTTTATTCTGGTACTGCAATAAGGTATGTGTTTCCCACACATATCTGCAAGTTTCCATGGACTGTTTATTTAAAAAAAAACAAACCAAAACAAATAAACAGTAGGCAAGCTGGTAATGGCACAGCCTTGCATGGAACCCTGAGCATCAATGATAAACAAATAAATTTTATTGTGTTTTTTTTTATGAATGCGAAAGTGACATAGAATCCAATTTTTATCTATATTTAGTTATTAATTATCCTGAAAATTCCCCAATTTAAAACAAAAAAAATAAATGCCATAAAAAATAAAAGACCTCAGGAAATTAAAGATCAAATAAAATCAACAAAAACACACACTCAGACATTGTGGACAAAAAGGGGCCACATGCTAACCTGACTAACTCAGGAAAGGCCTGCGTGGTGGCCTTGCAAACTCAAGAGACCTAAAGTAACCATAAAGAATGGTCTGAAATTAAAACTTTTAATTAAAAAGAAGTTTATAGTGAGTAGTCATGTCCTAGGCCAGTATCTTCCCTGACAAAGATTAACTTCAATCTTTACTGAGCCTATTGTCTTTTTGCACCTAAAAAAATATACCCCTGAAATGTCAGGATAACTTATAACTTCCCTTTTTCCAGACCCCTCAAGGCACAGCCCTGGTACCCTGGCAGAGACCACAAATTCCCTCATTGTTACTGTTATCCTGTTACTTGTTGACTGTTAATTATCCTATACCCACCTGTGTAAAGGAAGCATGTGTCTATCATTCTACTTTTTATCCAATCCCAGAGGTCCCCCCCCCACTCCTGCCCACTTTGCTTTCTCCCGCCTCCCTGATCTAGCACCAATGAATTTCACTTACCTTTTCCCTTTGATTGTAACATATAAAACAAGGTGGGAAAATGCCATTCTCCAGAGCACTATCTCAATACATTGAGATTCTGCTTCCTAGCAATTGTCAACAGTTTGGCTCTAGTAAACTCACAAAAATTCTTTACAGGTTTGAATGTTTTTTACTTTAACAACGTAAATAATAAAAATGGCTAAAATCTAGAGGAATAAATTAATTCTAGAACTGCAAAAGTCTTGAGGGAATTTTGTAACTTCTAAAATAAGAAAGTTGCATTGTATTAACAATACAATACGAGAGAAGTCCTTGGTTCCATGTTATGTGAGAATTGGAAATGAGTTCTTTATTTGAAGTGAAATTTTTAATGAGTTTTAACTTTAGTAAATGAATAGACTAGTCAACAAGGTAAGAAGACAAGGAAACTTCTCTATCTTGGTTTGGAATCAAAATGAAAAAAAAATGTTTATCTTGACAAATGTTAACTGAAGGCAACTCTCATGCAGGTTTGGACTTCAACATTATGCTGTTTACATAATTTATGGTTTCCTGGGTCTAGGGATGAAGGTGGTGAGAGATTTAATTGGAAAAGTGACAGGGAGCTTTTATGAGGTGATGTAATATTCTATATCTTGATTTTGGCAGTGTTTACATGAGTGCATAAACTTCGCACATGTACACTTAAAATAGGTTCATTTTATTGACTATAAACCACATGGCCATAAATTTATTTAAAATAAATTAATCAATTAAAAGAATAAATAAAAAAATCTAAAGCAATATAATTCCTGAAGATGTTTAATTGAAAACAATGTCCAAGATAATAATGGACCAAAGCAAATTCATAATGTATTCAATAAGACATTCAAAAATTAAAAAAATAAATAAAAATCCAAGTGGGAGACATTTTTGGGAGACATAGAGTTAATAATTCTATACAAAAGATCCAGAACTGATGGCCATGAAAGTCAGAATCTTGGTTAGATTATATGGAAAGGGTGGACAGGGCAGGTAGGAAAAGTTATGGGCTTTTAAATTTCTCATAGTAAACATAAAAGATTATATCAATTGAGTGTTTACTATATACAATGAGACATGTATTATCTTATTGAATTATTAAAAAACAAAAAACAAAAAAACCCAAAGTGACTCATCAATTTTCTGAGTCTATAGGATCTCTTTTTACAAATGAGAAAACAAAGCTTAAAGAGTTAAATTTTCAAATTTTTCCAGTCAGAAAAAAAGTTTAGACTAGGCCTCAAATCCAAGTCTGACTCCAAAGCCATCATCTTAAGTACCGTGCTATAGTATTTTTTTTCAGATAATAGAAAACATAAAAGTTTATCTAGTGAGACAAATACCTTCCTGTCCCTAAATTCTAGAAGAAATTTATTGTGTGGATATTGAGTAACAATGATGGATAATGTCTTCAACCCACGTTTTACAGAAAATACAGTAACGTTTTTTAAATGGCCATTTCTTGTATCAGCCTTTGATAACAGCTCAGTTCATAATGCTGAAGCACTACTTGGTGTAGGTATTTCTATGGACAACAAGCTGGGACAGCTCAGATATGTTGTTATCTACGATCAACTTGTTTTGGGAATGTATCCTATGCCCATCACAGGGAGGGCCGTAGAGAATCAGAAGGAAGGGCTTAATTTTAAAGAAATATCAGGGAAATGGCAGATTCTATTATAGAGGAAAATATGTCATGCAGAAAAGTCACTGTGAGTAAGCAGTTATTTGTCCTCAAAATAACCAAGATAGTTCCCTAAAGGAAGGCCTGAGTTGAGAACTGAAGCTGGTTGATTACTTGTTCTCTGCATGTGAACCTTTAAGAATCATGTGGAGATAAACTCAGTGCCAAGTCAAAAAAACGTCGGAAGAATTGAAGAGCTTCAGAACCCTAATTCACCATGTATCCCAGCATGCAGGAAGTGCTGGCATAGAGCATGTGTTAAATATTTATTAATAAAAAAATGCACGATTGCATGGAAGGAAAAAAAAATGAATGATTTTCCAATAACACAATTTTTTCTAAACTAAAACTAGGTATGTATCTTTTTGGTTACTTTTGGAATCATATTAAAATTTTTTGACCACATGTGAAGATTTAATTTTGTTTTAATTTTTGTTAATAACTTTACTTTTTACTTCAATTAGTAATGTAACAATTATACACAAGTACTGTACTAAATTGTCCCTTGTAGTCATTTCAAAAAATATTCATCAAAACCATATGTTAGATTACTATTTGTTCCTTTTGCAGATGAATAAAATAAAGGTTCAGAGAGGTTAAACACCTTGTCCAAGATTGTTCAGCTGTGAGACTCTAGGATTTTTGCCTTATCATTCCTAGCCATGCCCTTTATGATTCCCTATTCCAAACATGAAGCCACATTTTCTCTATTTTACTGTTTTGAGAAATGCTTATTAGAAAAGCTTCAAATTATTCCATCTGAGGGTTATAGAGTATTGGGTTTCTGCTGAAGTGCCTCTGGGTTTGGAACAGGAAAGGAAGGTAGGCTAAGCAGTTCAGGTCCAAGACACTCCTCCTTTTTCTCAATTTGGGAAACATCATTTTTATAAGTTTTATATGGTAGACTTTTGAGGAAAAAAAACTAACTTGAAAACAATTGTAATGGACCAATTAGAGTATATTTCAAAACTATCAGGCCTATGAAGATGACTCATTTGAACAAAGAGAAATGTATGTGCAATGAGCAGAAGAGACTTTTCTTAGAATAAATACTACTTGTCAATTTTACGGGAATGAGCAATGAGACCATTTTTTAAAAAGAGGATACCATGGTGACCCAAGATGTATTAATTATTGTGGGAAACCTCTGAATTTTATAGTGACTCATCAATTTTCTGAGTCTATAGACAAAAATCACTATCAGATCACCTCTCATGTTCTTAGAATTTTGAAGTTCAAGGAACTTTAAAGTATGTCAGTGCCGATTTCACAAAGTAACTCAATTTTAAAATAACCTGGAGAATTTGATGTCCCAAAAGGAAAAGCTTTTTTTTCCAGACACGAACCACTGAAACTCATTTGCCAGCTCAAGTTGGAGTCTCAGAACCTTTTAGTAATGCTGAGATTAAAAACCAGATGCCTTCAATCAAGATCAATTCCAGGAAATGCTGGCCCAGCTTACATTAAAAAATGCTCAGAACTTTTGGACTATATTCCTCTATTCATGGTGACTTAAAATTAGAAGGAAAGGGGTCTTAGAAATGATTTAGGATTCATTTTGTGTTACTCAAAAATCTTCTTGTGACATCACTTGCTTATTTACCCAGGAAGCAGGAATAATTAAAGGTGGACTTATAGAGATGGTTATTTTACAGGGTCTCTGATTTCTGCTGGAGGCCTTGTGAGTGGCAAGTGCTTTATCAATGAAGGCTAATGGACATGTTGCAGAAGCAGTATATTTTCTCCCTTGTATCCAAGTACCTTTCTGATTATACACCTGGAAGCTTCAAATCAGAATAATAAGATTTTCTAAGTGACAGATAAAGAGCCCTTTCTATCTTTCAAATAATCAATGCAAAAGCAAACCACAGAGAAAAAGTCTCAGATGAAAGTTTTCGAACCTATGCATAGAGACAGGCCAACAGCAGTATGGGCAAACAATGACATTAAAGGAAACAATAGTGAACAGATAGTTCAGAGAAATTAGATAAGAATGGAACAGTCTAACAGTACAGAAATCCTATCTAATAAAGAGAGAATATGCTAATTGACTGCCGTGCCCTCAAAGATGGTGGCGCCCACAGCCACAAGATAGTGGTGCTCAGTCCCCTCAGCCCCGACGGGGTGGCAGGTGCATGGCACAGCTGGGCCTGCACCCAGGGGAGTCCAGCCACTCCATGTGCCTGCTGATGAAGTCCCCCAGTCCCCTTAGCCCCCCAGCTGCCCAGGGCCACCCAAGGCCCAGGTAACCAGGGCTGGTCAAGGCTTGCGCTGCTGGCAGTGGCAGCAGAAGAGGTGTGATGGGGGTGTCACCTTCTCCTGATCACCAGGTCGCCTCCCGCCCTTGAGGGCTCCCGGACTGTGAGAGGGGGCAGGCCGGGCTGAGGGACCCCCCCTTCCAGCACATGAATTTTCATGCACCGGGCCTCTAGTACTATAATAAGAGATGGACTATTTAGTTGCCACTTTTGTTCTAAACCATTTGCAAATTTGAGTGGCAAAGAAAGTAGTTATGTTTTAAAAGTAATGAAATTTCTCAAATGTTGCTTCACCTATTAATTTAGATCAGCAGTTCTCAATCTGTGGGTCACGACCCCTTTGGTGGTTGAACGACCCTTTCACAGGGGTCACTTAAGACCATCCTGCATATCAGATATTTACATTATGATTCATAACAGTAGCAACATTACAGTTATGAAGTAGCAACGAAAATAATTTTATGGTTGGGCCACAACATGAGGAACTGTATTTAAAGGGCCAGAAGGTTGAGAACCACTGGTTTAGATGATTAGGAAGTAGTGCTTCTCTCATCGTGTTAGGTGTTCAGGTAAATATAGTTTTCTGTGGTTTAGGGGCAGTGTAATGAGTTGACATAATCATTTCAGAGTGTCAATAAAATTGTGTTGTATAAAGGCAAACCTAAACAAGGCACTAGTAAGCAAGACAGTGTCTTCAGTCTAGCCAACGTCAAAGTGGCAATCTCGCACATCAGTCAGCTCCAACCTCAGAAGACAATCTGCAATGAAGGTCCTACCACTTCTTCACCACCAACACAGTGCTCTTACATTGGCCTCAAATATTATCCCACTCTGAAATACCTATATTTATTGGCTTTTCTACCCCTGGGCAAGAACTTTCCCATAGCATGCATAAGAGTAGGTGTCAAGGGAGGAAGCAAGATGGTGGCATAGGTACACACTTGTACTTGCTGCCGCACACAACCACATCAAAAATACAACTAAAAGACGAAACAAATATCATCCAGAACCATGGGAAGGCTGGCTGAGTGGAAATTCTACAACTAGAAGGAAAGAGAAAAGTGCATTGAAGCAGGTAGGAGGTGCAGAGGTGTGGAAGTGCAGAGATATGGAGGCACGCACGGAAACGGGCTGGCAACTGGGTGTTCTGTTGTCTTTTTCAATTGGGAGGGAGATACAAGCTCCCAATTGCTTTGAACTCTAGTTCCAGGCGAGACTCTGGGGACCCAGACTCATACGGGGAGAAACTGCACTGTCTGGCATCGGGCTGGAATGCGAGGGCAGCTTTCTCGCAGACATGCTTGCAGCGATCATTGTTCCTGCACAGGGCCGAGGGACACAAAGACCCCAGGATCGCTCCAAGGCAGAGCAGACTTTGCAGTTTTCTCTGCCCTGATGATTCCCTGAGACCCCACCCCACCCAATTTACAACCCCACCCAAGCTGTGAGCAGAGACTTTTGCATATGAATGGCCTGTTCTTTTGCAATCTAAAACCTAACAAACTGCAGCTGGGTCAAAGAGCACCAAAGCCTCCAAAAGAAGGCCTAGATAGCAGCCTGCATTGCTTCACAGCTGGGCCTCATCTGGGCACTTCCAAACCCCAAACAAAGAGGAGGAATCTGCAGATCTCTCTGTAGCTCCTGCTGGGGGTCCTCAAGCAGTGGCTGACTTTTCACCTCCTTGGAGATCCAAGAGCCGCCAGTGTACGTGGTCAGAGTGAGACCATACCAGAATGCAACTCTTCACATCCATAAGCGACACACTCAAAGGGCAGATTCAGTGAGCACCACCACCCCACTGAAGCAAGTCCTGTTCCATAAGGGTGTCTCCAGCACAGCAGTTCTCCCATTGTAGACACAGCTGGTCCTCAAAGCCAATTG